ACCTAAAATAATGAAAAACCAAGAAATGATATTACAAAAGTTTTTATTTTTTATTGTTGCTCAGCGTAATATTTCAAAAGCAGGGGGGAAAATGAAGGGGCATAAAAGTGCATTTATCACAGTTTTCTGAGAACAATTAGCTGAACTCTGCCTTGTTTTTCATTATTTTAGGTGGTAAAACCTCTATTCAGGTTAAATTGCCATGTTGGCACTTTGTAATACCCTGTTTCCCCAAAAATAAGACCTCTCCAGATAATAAGCTCTCCCCAAAATATTGCAACACAACAGCAGCCATGAGGTGACCACACTTGCCGCCTCCTGCACCTCAAAAATAATAAGACCTCCCCCAAAATAAGGCCAATTGCTTATTTCAGGGGGCAAAAGAAAATAAGACCTTGCCTTATTTAAGAGAAAACACTGTAAATAAGTGGATTTTGGGTTTCCATTTGGGCACTCAGTCTCTAAAAGGTAATTAGTATATTATTTTGATTTAGTGTATTCTTTGACTTAACATTTTGCATCTCAATACAGGCCTGTTCCTTATGTAAGCATTTCTGAGTTTTAACGGCAACAAATACTGGCCTGTAGATCTTTTTAAAAAAGCAGCTTAGGTAGTGCTATGCTACCTAGCATAGATTTTATAATCAAATTCTCATGAAAATCTTCATTTTTTTCTGTCCAAAATTAGCTTTTTTTAAAATAATCGATCCAGTTACCTCCCTGATATCAGCCCATTTTATCACCATATTTCTACAATAGGTGGAGGATTTGGAAAATGATTTAGAACCTGGGCCTCAATAATATACTATGGTATGTAGCAACTACTGTAGAACTTTTATCTTTGAAGTGGGCTTTTTTGTTTTTTTGTAAAAAGCTATATGTTTGATACTATAATAGAGAATATTTTCAGAAATTGATTTCTTATGGAAATAAAATTAAGACTTGCTCTCAAACTACTTCATTTTAAAATTACAAAGCAAGTTGCAACTTATGAAAGCATATTCCACAACAAATTAGTTAGTTTGGAAAGTATAGTACAAAATCTTTCTGCAGATCAAATCAATTTTGACTTTGGGAATACTTCTTGATAAACTTAACGATGTGCCTTCTGGATTGTTTCATGTAAGTTTTTGAGAACTTTTATGAAGCATAAGAAATAGCTTTGAGTATTGGAAGCTTCTTGCATGCAAGCTGTGAAAAATTATTAATGCAAATTAGCCTATGAGATTTTGAAAGAGAGCTTTATCCAAAGGATTGCCTTATAAGTAGGCTTCAGTTTCTACAAGACAAAGACTGGTGTGTTTTCATACAGAATTATTGCATAAGTAGTTGTTTCTGGATTTTTTTAATAGCAAAGAATGTCTTGGCATTTCATGTATGGGGGTGTCAAGACAAAATCATTACATTTTTCTCCGTTCATTTGCAATAGTTGTTCAATGGTTAATTTCCAATTTTAATGACTTAGGAATCTTTTGATGATTTTGATTTTAATAATTAGGAATCTTTCTTTGGGCCTGACACTGAAAGCTTGTTTGTCTCTTCTCATTGCCAGCTTGACATGCACTAGAAAGCTAAGAAAAGACAGATGAATGAAGTAGAAATATGAGCATCTGTTTAGCATCTTCTTTCTTTTACACAGTGGCAATTAAACACTTCTGATAGAAATGAGAAAGTATGAATAATAGTACTAGCAGTGAATTAGTACTATTCTAGAGTATAACTAAAATCTCATTGATATGCTGTAGTGTCACATGCATTATATAACATTAAGTCAGATTGTGACTTATCAAACTTTAGTTGTTCATGATATTTAATCCATTCTGTAAAGATATTGCAGTTGATTTTCCAGGAACAAGCTACAGTTAGTTAAAACCTAACTAATGTTTACAGTTCCATATATCTAAAACCAATATTTTAGATAATTCTGATTTGGTTTTATGGTGCACTAGAAAATAAGAGGCAAAAGTTAAAACTTAAAGTGCTCCAAAGATTTTAGTATCTTGGTGCTTTTCTTGAACTAAGTCTCCTGCTGCAATGCAAACAATCTAGCAATAGGATTCTGTCCCAGATGCCTTCCTTCTAAAAGCAGAGAGTAACTAGTTTCATAGCTGCTACTAGAATAGAAGATTTAAAGGAACCAACATAGAGTTAATAGAACTTTATGTTCAAATCACCATTTTACTATCTGCAGATAATCTTGTCTTTTACAATCTCAGCAGTAGAGATATAGCTGCATGACAGTAGGAGTTATTGTTTAACATTAGAATCTTGAAAAAACATTTATTTCAAGTGATGTTTTAAAAAGAACTACCAACTTGCTGACCGATTAATGACCCTAGAAAATTATCTGCTCTTGTTTGCTTCTCCAGTTCTCCAGAAGTCTAATGTACTTTCATTAAAAGCTAAGCTTTTTACACTATGGCATGCCAAACATTAACTATAAATTAATAATTTTTATTCTTTCCCAGGACATCACCCTCCTGTTTTCTCCCGAGAAGAAGGGGGGAGGGGAATGAAAATTTAAAATGTACTGAACTTGGTGAAAATTATTACAGTTCTTTGGAAACAATTTTCTCTGAAGATATAGTATTTTATATTTACTATATATAAATATGGTTCCACCACAAATCCACGAAGCCCTTATCCGCGGAGACATAAGCGCGAAGACTAATTCGTGCTGTTCAAAGCGCTAAGGAAAAACGCGACCCTACCGCGATGACATAATCGCGAAGGGCAAATCCGTGCATTCCCAAGCACTCAGTACCCTAAACCTAACCTTAAACCTAACCCTAACCCTTACCTTAATTGAAATCGGCTTTCTGCTGCGGTGCCGTTTTAAAACACCCTTCTGTTGCCGCGCTGTTGTCGCAGCGGTGATGACGTCGCAGCTTTAGCGACGCGCTTATGTCTCTGCGGATAAGGGCTTCGCGGTTTTGTCGTGCCACGTATAAATATTTCTAACACCATGATCAATCTTTAATTTAGACAGAATTTCCTGACATTTCCTTCACTAGCATCTGTATTCCAAGGCATTCTATAACTTTGTGGTTCCTTAGGCCAAGTACTGAAGCATAGAGATGGGAACTGGCATTTTAATGATTCTAGAGATTGTAATAAGGATTCCAAAATTAATTGTAGAATGAAGTTGTGGCAGCCTAGATGAGAAATGTTCTTGAAATATTTCTATTGTATGATGAAAATGAATGCCTTGTGTGGAATCATGAATGATGGATATAAACCACAATGATTTAGGAAACCACAGTAAGCCAAAGTGAAACAAACCACATTAAAGCTTAAAGCAGTGGGTGAATCTAACTACAGATTATTTCTGAAGGGAGCATTAGGCTTTGGAAGGAATATGCTATAAAGTTTAAAAACTTTTTTCCCTTATACATTAAAATTTCCCCCTTACTCATCTTCAAAAATATTCTCCTTTCTGTATTAATATCACAGTAGATATTTGTAATATCTCTTGTTGGTAGTGAGTGGACAATTCTTCCTGCCAGGGAATAAAGTTTTGTTCAGAAAGCTGTAATCCAAATTCAAAAATTGTATGTGATACCTCTTTCTTCTTCTGGTTTTCTACTTACTCTCAAATTTCCGGCAATATATATTCCACCAGTGCATCTTATATAAAGTATGATGGTGTAGAAACATTGACTAAATACCAGGAGACTATGAAGATGTCCAAATTATTTATTTATTAAATTTATATGTAGCCCATTTTACTATTAAGCAAAGTTTTTGTTCACATTGGTTTTAAGATAAGGGTGCTGACATTTCTTAGTTACAATGATCAGTCTGCCCATAAGAAAAGCAAGATATTTTTTGGGTCCATGACAATAGCTGTCAACCTTTTGCAAATAATATGATTTAAGTTCCACACCTGAAGATTTTGTCCAGAATTATTTGATGGTTGAATTCACATTGTTTTAACCCTTAATATGGCTTGTTTCACTGTGGCTTACTGTGGATTCATAAAACGTTGTGTTTATATGCCATCATTTATGATTTTGTTATGTTAAGCAAACTAAACTTCAGTAAATCAAGTTAAGCTGTGACTTTGTGTGAAGTGTGAACCTATGGCTTGGTAATGGAGGGAAACTTCTGTTGCAGAATGGGACCATTTGCCACAACCAACTTGCCACAGCTCATGGCCAACTCACCATGGCCAACTTGCCACAGCCAAGTTACCGTGGGCTAAATTGCTGCAGAACAATTCAATAATTCAATTTAATTATTTAAATTTAATTAAAACATTTTAATTTTTGTCATTTACATTTCATTTTGTTACTCCTTTGAAATCCTTTCTTTATTCTACTCCATTTCTTCAACATTGTGAAGTATCGAAGAAATGTCTAATCTAAGTCCAAGAAATATCTACGTCTAAGAAATATAAGTCTAAGTGCTATTGTTTTTGCTATTGGTGTAACTCTTGTCCTGCGGCGAATCGGCCATGGCCAGTTGTCCTATAACCCTTCTGTTGTGAGGGAGAAATAGTTTAAATTAGTCCTGTGCTACTCTGTCTGAACTTAACAATGTAACTGTTTTAATACTGTGCTCTCAATTTAAACAGTTATAGAGGAACAAAAATCTGACTCTAGTTTTTACTTTTACATTCAGACAATGCTCATATCAGAGCGTCAGCAAAAACCTAAACTAAACTAACCTTTTTTAAACTACCAGTATAAAACACAGATCAATATCCTGATTTATATATCCTATATAGCTCTATAGCTATATACTTGGCCTAGTACATTCTATTTTCCATTCAATAGGAAATTGAAAATCTCAGATGTTAGAACTATGTTGAATTAAGATTCTCAGTGGCTGAGTATGATGTCCTAAAGAATACCTTACTAATAATCAAATATTCTTCAAAGTCAAGATCTTTGTGAAAAGCTATCTTTTAGTTGCATCATAATGAAGTCATAATGAAATGATATCAAGAGTGAGGATAGAATTATAATTTTTAGATGCCATCATGTTTTAAAACAATATTTTGCGATGTATTACAAATTTTGTGATTTAATCAGGTTAATTCAATTTTGTTTAATATGGTAGTTTTTGGTTTGAGATTCCAAATAATACAACTCTTTGAACTGATAGATGTCACATTTATAGATGTTACATTATAATTTAGATTGTTTCTATCAGTAATTTTAATCTTTGTCTTCACCACTTCATTTAATTAATTTCACTAATTTTAATAATTACTAATTTTGATTTAAATTGCAAAGAATGCAGAAGCAGAAGATGTAATTCTCCAGCTAACTAAAAGTTAGACACATGATTCAGTTGCATTATCTTAAGCAATGAAATATATAATTGTAAATTTTTTCTCCAATATACCTCAATTATTCAATTATAAATAAATTAATATTATGCCTTGAAATAATATATAGAATAAGCTATAAATTATTGTTGTAATAAACAACAATAATACTGCTCAATTGTAACTTTACATAAGTGACCACTCACTTGACTTTTTTTTTTTTTTTACTGATTAAATGTCACATTCTACTTTTAGTTTTTCAGAATTGAAGCCTGGATATTGAAACCAGGTTTCCAAACAAAACTTGATGCTTAAGTCATTTTGCAGACATATACATTTAGTTATTTGTTTGTGTGTGTATTTTAACAGAATATTCTCCTTTCTGGATGTGGTCACACTCTGCCGCTGTGCGCAGGTTTCCAGGGTAAGAATATTTGCATACTAGTACTGGTAAGGCTTTCTCTATTGGGTATCTTCAGGCTATCTCCAGAAATCAGATCAAATCTTAATTATAGATCAGCATATGAAACCCAGCAGTGTGTCAGCCTTAAGTAATATTCAATGTGAGCCCATTTCTTCTCCACAGTTTTTGTATCAAAAAAATGCCCACTCATTTTGTTACTCTAACATGCAGAAACTTACGTTGCTGGAAAATGATGAACCTGCAGCTAATGCATTCACTTCATCTATAATTCATGTTCACAGGTCATTGATAGCAATAATTTTTGAGGGCATGGATGGGAAAGGGCTAACAAAATGGATTTTATATAGGCAGTCCTCAACTTAAGACCAAAATTGGGGGCAGAATTTCCATCGCTAAATGATATAGTCATTAAGTGAGTCAGGCCCAGTTATATAACATGTGTTCTGATCTTAAGTGAATTACCATGATTATTAAGCAAATCCAGCTTCTCCATTGGCTTTGCTTGATCAAGTGACCCCAGGATGCTGCAATCATTGTAAATACAGGCCAGTTCCAAACACCCAAATTCTGATCATATGATGTGGGTGGATGCTAAGTGTGAAGACTAACTTTTTTTTAGCACATCATAATTTTGATCATTAAATGAATGATTGTAAGTCAACTATTCATAGAGAACACAGAGAAATCTATGTGAGCTATACTGGGCTCAATAATGAAATGCTTGTCCGGAGGGGAAAGTCTTAAGATGCTCAGATTCATATTTTACTAGACATCATCAGGAATAGAAATTTAAAACTGAAGATCATTACTGAGAACATTTCCTATATTCCTGAATGATTCATTACTTTTGTAGAAATGCACATAGTATACCTCAGAGGAAATCATTTTTAATGGTGAATGGACTAGACCATGAGCAGAATAGCACAGTTATTATAATTCACAGTGTGAATTGGATAAAGTGATTTAATAATCCTGCATATCTGTAGCACATTCCCATTACATTAAATTTTCCAAATTTGCTACCCTCCAGATGTATTAGACTTCATTTCCCATAATTTCCAATGAGATTACAAAATACTGAATGTGGATATAGTACTGTGTTGAGAAGTTCTGAACTTTTAGGGGCTTATTGCTCTGATTGCCCCATTTTAAAAAGAAATGCCAAAAAAGAAGTCAAATTAGTCAAAAAGTTGGAATATTGCAGTCTAGGGCTGTGCATATTCTTTAGAATTGGTAGTCTGCAGTACCTGGTGAATGCATGCAGAGGCCAATTGGAGCAGCTTCTAAAACAGCTGCACAAGCTTAAGAAAAGGCCCAACTGCTTTAATACATCACAACTCTTCTAAAGGATTCACATAACCTTGTTGGAATCAATAAAATCTGCGCTGGGAGACATAATTGTAAAAAATAAATTGCTTAGAAGCAGTATTGCAAAAACAATAAAAGCATTTAAAGGATTTCTAAAACTATCAAATATAGGAAAAGTGTGATCAAACAACAGAAACATCTTTTTAAAAAGGGGGAAGCAGAATATATAATCTGCTCACTGATTAAATTAAAGATTCTTTGCAGCTCCTCATATTTCATAAGGAAGCCTTTCTGTGGTTTTAAACATCTGGGCTTTAAATGATATTATCTGAATTAAGATAGTTCAGGCAACTGTTGTATATTGTATTATTATATTAATTACACAGAGCCGGTACTCCAAAAACATAATGAGGCATTATTATTTGGGAAACTGAAATGTGCAGGAGTAACTTGTGAGTTGTTCATGCATGTATGTATTTTCTATAATTTCTGAATGTAAGATTTAAAATGGTTAGCTACAGAAAGATTAACTCAAATCTGCATTGTTTTAAACTGATGCATGTTTAGACTGTTCATGCTTGAATGTATTGGTTCTCATGAAGAAGTAACTTAGTGATAGTATTTCTAGAGGACAGAAGCTTTGGAGTGACTCAAATGAATAGAGAGGCTATATCTGCCCTCAGTTTTTCTATATTTAGAGGTATATATCTGACAATTTTTCAACTTTTTGCCAATTTCATTACAGGCATGGAATGTCCTAGCTTTGGATGGTAGCAATTGGCAACGCATTGACCTGTTTGATTTCCAAAGGGACATTGAGGTATAATTAAGTGACATGCAAAAGATTGTCTCTAGATAAACTGTAACTACTGTACTGCCTCAGATTAGTAACAAGCTATGTCATCTTTTCAGATCTTCAGAGACAAATTGTTAATTTTTACTACTCATTCCAAAGAGCGTTTAAAGCTATAGTATGCTTTTAATAGAACACCACATTGATTTATACTGTGATTGCTTATCTCTGTATGAATTAATTCAATATCTTCTGTACACAAAGATTTATGTTCCTAACCTGAAAATATTAAAGAAAGAATCGATTATCTGAGGGAGATAATAATACTCTCGATTTGAACATTGTGCCTTATAATTATAAGGGTATATCTTTGAGGTATAAATAGCATTGAACAACATGAGGTTACGCATCAAACTATGGAGGTTTAGAGTTATCATTAAAAGTCACCATATTAAAAGATGTTGGGTTTAAATTTTTAGAAAAGTAATGAAAAGTAGTAAGGAGGCCATTTGGGGATTTGTTTGTTTGTTTTAAACAGTCTCCGGGCATTTCTCCTTATGCCGTTCTTTATGTGACAGCCGATGCTGTAAGGATAAACCTCAATAGAAAAAAAAATGCGGAGGCTACATGCACTTGAAAAGTAATTGTGATGCTTTGCCCTTTATAAATATGTCTCATGTTTTTATTGGTTCCTGTAGCCAAATTAACTAATTTCTGCCTTTTTAGCACCCAAGTGTATGCTGCTGAACAAAATCCCTCTGTTGTTTCCATCACAAACAGTAACAAGATAGCCAGTCAGCTTTCTCTAAGAGAACTTCTCTTTCTCCCTCTCCCCCTCTCCCTCTCTCACACACACACATTTCCCTCTATATAATCATATGACCATGGAATGTATAATTATGTGGCTAAGTTAGCTGCATGGCCTTTTGCAGGCACAAATTGAGAAAGACTATAGCACAATAAACAACATATGAGTTGGATAACAGCATACTAAATTATGCTTTGTACTTATGCTTGAAAATATTCAGCTGATCAGTTTGCCACAGAAAAGCATCTTAGTGCCACAAACGTAGCACTACAATATAAGCTTCAGCTTCTGTGAATCGATCCTAAAGACCCCTATTTATGAACCAGATGAATGCAGGCATTCCACAAAACATATTATTCCAAATATAATTTAAGTATAGAATAAATGCCTAGAGGTGAAGGAGGATAACAAGATATGATAAAAATATATCATAACAAGATGTGATAAAAATATATCAAATAGGAAAAGATGTTTTAAAGAAAAAAAGTTGTTTGCTGCATGTAAAATTAAGCAAGAGAATTAATTTAGAAGATTTTCGTCTTCTTCTTTCAGGGGCGTGTAGTAGAGAATATTTCTAAAAGATGTGGAGGATTCCTTCGAAAGCTGAGTCTACGTGGATGCCTAGGTGTGGGAGACAACGCATTGAGGTAGTGAGGTCAACACAAATTATTTAACACCTATCTGAGAACTGGCCATGAGATGATAGGGCAGGTACTAATTTTGGGTACAGAAATTGAGGCTGCAGAATCCTCAAATATTTGATTTCTGCATTACTGTAATTATCTGTAACATCAAACTAAAGTATAACTTTGATGTTATTTATAGGAGGGAAGCATTCTTTCTCACTCCTATTTCCAGATCAGTCCTGCACAACTCATTGAGTTGCTTGCATTGATAAATTAAAATTCCTCATGGGCCCCAAAGAAATACTAAGAGTGCCAATCAACTATTCCATGATTAGTGGATTAGCAGAAAGGCTGGTACTAGCAGCAGCAGCAGCAACACCAGTAAACCTTGGAGGTAGTTGGTAACATGTTTTGGGGGGGCATCAGTTTAAAAAAAATATTGGTAGGCTTCACAAAGCTGTTTGTGGGCTTTATGTAAGCCTGCTGTAGATGTTTCTTATCTCCACACAACTCTAAGCAGAAGATTTACTTCCACGCAATACTACACAGAAATGTAATGAGGAAACATTTAGAAGTCTGGGTAATACACAACAAAACAGTTAAAAACAAATCTAAAGAAATATTGAGAACAATTAGATATAAATCTAAAACCAAAATTATGGGAGAATGGACTATATTCTGCGCAAAAACACAGACTGGCTTCAGCTTTATCTAGAAGAATGAATTTGGAGCATACTGAAATACTTGTTTTCATGGCCTGCCTATAGATATGCTTATAATTGAATAAGCATAGAATTCTCATCTTAGATTGAGAATCGTTAAATTAAGATGAAGTCATAGGCTGTCAGGTATAGCATAACAGGTAGTCCACAATTTACAACCACAATTGAGCCCAGCATTTATGTTATTAAGTGAGAAATTTGTTAAGTGAGTTTTGCCCCATTTTACGATTTTTCTTGCCACATTTGTTAAGTGAATCACTGCAGTTGTTAAATTAGTAACAAGGTTGTTAGGTGAATCTGGTTTCCCCATTGATTTTGCTTGTCAGAAGGTCACAAAAGGAGATCACATGACTCTGGGACATTGTAGCTGTCATAAATGTGAGTCAATTGTCAAGCATCCAAATGTAAATCGTGATCATGAGGATGCTGTAATGGTCATAAATGAAAAATGGTCGTAAGTCACTTTTTTCAGTGCCATTGTAACTTTGAACAGTCACTAAGGAACTGTTGTAAATTGAAGACTACCTATATAGTTTCTGTCTGATGCGTCCTCAAATCACTCCTGGTAGGATATGCTGTATCTGTTATATTGCTTAAGTAACTAAAATAAACACCTTTCAATCCAGTTATGGTTATCTCAGTAGAGCAAGGGTGGGAAATGATGGCCCATGCTGGCCCAGGTGTTCTGGGAGTTGAAGTTCACAAGTCAAGTCATAAAGGGGCAATCATTCCCCACCTCTGCATTATTTTTTAGAGGTTATATGATACATAACCTCTGAATTCCTACATTTGTGGTTTTTAAAAATAGGTGCTCAACATTGATACAAATTTTCAATATAATTATGTTTCATGGATTTTTGGTTTTTTTTGCTTCTTAAAAAACTGGGTTTTCTCCCTACATATTGTCAAAATTCTACTAAAAGTTGATGTTGCTAGCTTTACTTTTCAGTGCATACGAGATTTTTTAAAAGTCAAATCATTGTGATAAAACCTTTCATTAAAAGCCTGAAAGAATGTATGTTTCTTTGCATGAAGGATATTTGCACAAAACTGCAGAAATATTGAAGTGTTGAATCTAAATGGCTGCACCAAGATTACAGATGCGTAAGTGATCTTTGTTTTGGAGTTCTGAAATATTGCATTAGCTCTTTAAAATGTCAGTCTTATAGCACTTAACTGAGAGTAAGCTTCATTGGAAATTAGTCTGGTCTTCTGAGGAGACATATATAAGATTGCACTGTGATTCCTCTTCCCAATGGTCTTCCCTGTCCGCCTCCCCCTGGTCCTTTTTTGTTGTTGTTAGTTTGCTTAAATATGGTATTTTCATGTAATTGTTCTATTTCTTATTTCATGATTAAAAAAGGATTTAGGAATGGGATTAGAATAGATTAGTGGCAGGGCTCATCTTAATCTCTTTACCAGTACCCTCATTCATTCATCCATCCATCCATTCTTTCTTTCTTTTCCAATCTCTCCACATTTCTACTTCTCTACCAATTCTCAAGTCTGTCATCAAGCCTATCATGCCTGCCTTCCTCTTGATACAGTTCTCCACTTCCACAAACCACTATCAACATCCAAAAATTTCCCTCTGCCAAACTCCTCCAGTACACCCTCAACCAATTTCCATACATACTACTGCCATCTTCATCTCTTCATATCGCAACTCAGTTTAGTGTTATCTCCCATTTGTAAATTTCCAGTGTTTTCAACCATTTTTATTTTTATTTCTTGTCACAAGAAAATCATTGAAGAAGGTAAGATGGAATAGCGGCACAATATCTTAATTGCTAGAATTAGCTGTTGTCATCCATCTGAAAATGTCTCCAATGCTTTTTCCTACTTTTTAAAATAAAATATAAAATGAACCTGTGGGTATTCTATTTTCTTCCAGTACATGCACTAGCCTTAGTAAATTTTGCTCAAAGTTACGGCATCTTGATCTAGCTTCCTGCACATCAATAACCAACCTGTCACTGAAAGCACTGAGGTGAGTGTTCAGATTGTTCATAAAACTAATCACCTAAATAAGGTTAATAAAAGTAGACTCATAATAATTATCTCTGATTTAAATATGTGAGATGCCTTTGCAATGCATTTCTTCTCTTCCCTGTCCAAGTACTAATAGTAGTGCAGTTGGCCCAGTTTACATCTTGAAGGAATAAATATGTGGTTCTTTTGTAGTTAATGTAGCTCCTGAGACTCAGATAAGCAGGACACAGGATGACTTTTTGTATGCCAGTAAATGGTTTTCTGATCCCAGAACAGTTCATAAGTTTTAGATTTTTGATAAATCTTTCAGAAGCCATGATCAACAAGATTTACATTGGAAATGTTATAAGAAATATGCCAACAGAGAATTATGAGTCAAATCAGAGATTCTCTCATCTCAAATCCCTAATAAGAATGCAAAAACAGGCCAATATCTTTTCTTCAGCCCTATTTCTATAGCTATTCTGTTTGTTCCAGCTATAGCTTTCAATTGGATTGTCTATTAAGGCTGTGTCAGAGAAGAAAACGGTTAACATTTAGAACATTAGATAAATAAGTTTAGAACAATAAACATAAGCAAGGGTTAACCCACCTTGGTTCCTGAAGCAAGATGTTTATCTTTAGAGTTAATATGTACACCTGCATTTTCTTTCTGTGTTCATCCCTTTTCCCCTTCAGTGAGGGGTGCCCTCTACTAGAGCAACTCAATATCTCGTGGTGTGACCAAGTGACAAAAGATGGCATCCAAAATTTGGTGAGAGGCTGTGGTGGACTCAAAGCTCTGTTTCTTAAAGGCTGTACACAGGTACTGTACAAGTCTCCACGGAAAGATCAGTAGTCTAGAAAGCTGAATTTGGATTGGCTGGATTTGTTCAGAAAGTTCAGTAGCCTGGAAAACTGGATTGGCTGATTTATTTCATACAATGTCTCATCACTTACATATGAGGCATTGAAAATTGAATAAAAAATAAATAATAAATCTAAAGAAACAAGTTTATTCATATATTTATTATTTTGTTCTGTCATCTCAGACTATCCAAAACTGTTAAAATATAGTTTGCACAATTTGTTCTTTAAATCAGAACATTAGAGGTAGTCCTTGGGTTGCAATACTAATTGGGACCAAAAGATATGGACCTAAAATGCAACATCATGTGACTGCATTTGTTTAGTAACAGCAGTCCCAGCAGTCCCTGTTGCCATCTTTAAGCAAGGATTGCACATAATTAAGCAGGGACCTTATATGATTGCAACTTGCAATTTCCTACCAGCTCCCAACATGCAAAATTGGGGAAGTTGGCAGGAGGTTACAGTCCCAATCACCACAAGCCTTTCCTCAGGCAGTCTAGAAAGAGGCCAGAGGGCAGATAAATGTTATGTAAAGTGACCAGGTAGAGATGGCTTTTGTGGTAAAATATAGTTGGGTGGGGAAGTGCTGTGATGAGATATGAGTTTGTGCAGGTGGGGGATGCTGCAGACTACGACCAAATGTAGATACTGCAGGATCTATGACAACTTGCTGCCACTCACTGCAGCCAACTTGCCATGAGACAACTGACCATGCCCAACTCGCTGCAGGACAACCCACCACAGCATAAGAGTTACACTAATATCAAATAAATAATGAATGGAATCACTACAGAAAGGATGCCAAAGGAGGGACAAAATGAAATATATGGGCAAATGCTGAGCTGGTTCTGGTGCAAAGGTGTACGAGGAGAGTTGGTGCATGTGTTATGCAGTGGGTGAGCCCCCGGATCTCAAAGAAAAAGTGGCAGGAGCCGCTTGCAACCTTCCCTGCTAATGGCTTCCCCATTCACTTTGCCTTGTGAGAAGCAGGCAGGGAAGGGCATAAAGAGAGAGTACAGGGCATTAGAACTATTGTAATTACAATCCAATTGCCAAATGCCTGAATCTTGATCATGTGACTGCAGGGATACTGACCGCTGCAACTTTGCAAATCAGTTGTAAGTTCGCCCATCCCCCTTTGTCTGGTGCTATCATATTCCCCCCCCCCCCATTTTTTAAATTTTCTTTTAATACAAACTTTTCATCATTCATTAAATAGTGTTACTTGGGTACATTTTTTGTGCCATAATAGTTAATGCTTACCACATATTTGTTATATATATACCGTATTTTCACGACTATAAGCCGCACTGAAAATCCTAAAATTTGATCAAAAACCAGCAGTGCGGCTTATAGCCCGGTGCGCTTTATATGTGAAAAAAGACTGAAAATCTCTCCCTCCCGACGCTCAAACTTGAAGCTCGCAAGCATGCACATGTCCCTCGGGTCTCTCCCTTCAACCTCGCTACTTTCTGAGTCGGAGACCGGGGGGCGAGCAGAGAGCCACCCAGCTCCCAGCCCCTATAAACTGGGCTGTTCCGTCACCCCCGCCGCCGCAAGAAGGGACGGCAGACCGGCGCAGCCCTTCAGGATTTGCCGGCGCCGAGCACCCCATCCGCCCCGGCAGTCGCCCTGCCTAACTCCGCTCCGCGCCCCAGCCGGCTCTGCGCTGCCGGTCAAGGGCGCGCGGGTGGCCGGTGCGGCACCGGTCTTCCCAGTACACCACGCCGGCCGGGCAAGAGCCGGGAGAGCAGCGGAGCCCGAAGCCTCCCGCGCCAGAAACGTCCCGCTAGCCTGCCACGTGCGCCCACACGCCTGCCTCGGGGACCGCAACCCGGGCGCCCTGCCCGTCCCCGTCCCCCCCCCACCTGGCTCACCGATGCGGATGACATGGGGCATGCTGCGGCAGGCGTGCAGCCAGAGGACTCCGAGCAGGGCGGCGGCAGCGGAGGCGCATGAGCGGGCCAGCGGCGGGCGCGGGGCATGGCAGTAGGTCAGCATCCTGGGCGGGCGGGCAGCAGGCAAGGCGCGGGAGGCGGAGAGGACAGAGCGACCGGAGCGCCGCCGCCACCCGGTTCGGCTTCCCTGGCCGCGGCGCCCTAGGCCCCCGCGCTGGCGATCTCCCGGGGTGACGAGGCTGCGCGGGGCCGTTCAGCGGAGGAAGGCGGCCGCCTGGCGGGAGAGGCTCGGCTGAAAGGTGCCGGGGCTGGAGCCGCAGAGCCAGGCATGCCTTCCGCCCGGGAAGTCCTGCCCCTTCATCCCCGAAGGCTGGCGCGCGGTGAGGGGGGCCGGCGTGGGGGCGGAAGTACTTTGCACATGCTCCACGGTCGCCGCGCTCTCCGTCCCAGCCTTCGCCGAAGCCGGCGGGCTGCCTCCCGAAGAAGCCAGAAAATGCCCCAACTCGGGCAGACGGAGTTCCAGTTGCAACCTGCGCACGTGATTCGATGAGGAACCAAGGGGAGCCGGGTCTCTGAGTGCGGCTTATAACCTGGTGCGCTTTATATGTGAAAAAAGTTTGAAAAATTAACATTAACTGATACTGCGGCTTATAATACGGTGCGGCTTATGGTCATGAAAATACGGTATTCTTATTTTAATACCAGTACTTAAAACTCAACATATTTATTATTACAACATTTCTTTTCTTAATTTATTTAACATTATGATACATTATTTTCATATTTATTCTCTAACCATTAATAGAATAGCTCCCATTTATTATAATAATTAGATTTTTCCTTTCTTTAATTGTTAATCTATTCATTTCTGCACATTCTAATATTTTTTAATCACATTTTCATCTGTGGGGGATGAAAAGGGCTGTAACTCAAATACATTATTGCAAAAATAATGTGTATTTTTGTGTGTGTATTTTGTGGAAAACATCTTTGTTTTCCCTTAGAAATAAAATGTGACTTGAAATCCTTAATAGTGAAATTATTTTTGAAAAATAAATTTTGGATGGCATTTACACTCATATGATAGCATTTGTTGTTTTACTCATATGTCTCATATGGGAAATTTGATTGCAGCCAGAGATCATACATATTTGGTGTTTGTGATTGATGATCTTTATTGAGCGATCACAATTAGGACTGGCAATTCAATCACTAGATAAAGTTGTTAATGTGGGAAATCATATGACTCTTTGGTTCTTATTATTTTACTATAGGTTTCCTTTTTACCCATTTCCCGCCTTTTTAAATACTCATTCTGGCACTGGGATAATCTGCATAAAGGAAATTTATATTTGTATTTATAGTCATTAAAGAGGAAGGGATTACAGATAGTCATAAAGCCATTTGTTTAGTGACCATTTGAAGTTAAAATAATACTGGATACTTTGACTTTTGATCATTTTTCACACTTACAACCATTGCAGCATCTCCTTGGTCACATGATCAAAATTCATGTATTTTTGATAGTTGCAGTGTCCTGGCATCATCTTTTGCAACCTTCTGACAATCAAAGTCAATGGGGAAGCGAAATTCATTCAACAACTGCATTACTAATTTAACAACTGCAGTGGTTCACTTAACAACTGTGGCAAGAAAAGTCAAAAATGGGACAAAATACATTTAACAACTCTCTTGCTTAGCAATGGTAATTTTGGGCTCAACTATGGGAAATGAAATGGGTACATTAAAATGAAAAAAAAAATATGTACACTAAGAGCATATGCACCAAAGACAAATTCCTTGTGTGTCCAATCACACTTTGCCAATAAAGAATTCTATTCTATTCTATACATGATAGCATTAGTTATTTGTCAAACACATTCAGGATTTCTAATAATAGACATTCCTTTCAATGTGTATTCCCCATAATAGTGAACATGTTATAGAAAGACACTGTAAAAGTTGTATATTCACAAAGTTATTTTTTCAGCACTGCTATAATTTTGACAAGTTGATGCACAAGTGAGTGAGATTTATTTTCAGCAACGTATACTCAAAATTCAAAAGCCGCAGGAAGGAGGCTAATCATACCGTGTTTTCCCCAAAATAAGACAGGGTCTTATTTTCTTTTGACCCCTGAAATAAGTACTTGGCCTTATTTTCTGGGAGATCTTATTATTTTGAAGGTGCAGGAGGTGGCGAGTATAGTCACCTCATGACTGCTGCTGTGTTGCAATATTTTCGGGGGAGGCATTATTTTAGTGCATGCGCTCAAAAGCCCAATTGGGCTTATTATCCAGGGAGGTCTTATTTTCAAGGAAACAGGGTATAACAACATTTTCAGTTTCTTATGGGATCAGTTGCTTTTTTTTTAAAAGTAGGGTGGTAAAAGAAAATTTATTTTGTGTTGTGTTGAAATATATCACCAAATTTCTGGCTTTTGTTGTGAATTACAACATTGGTATCTTAATGAGGCAGCAGGAGTAAGAAAAGCATGATTGACTGAATATTGCCCATTCATGCTATAAGTGAAAAGTACAATGAAGAGACCTAGGAAATTGTCTATTTTCTCTATTTCTGTCTTTCTCTTAGCTGGAAGATGAAGCTCTTAAATACATTGGTGCAAACTGTCCCGAATTAGTGACTCTGAATTTGCAAACATGCTTGGTAAGAGGTTGGCCTTTATAAACCCAGTCTTCTCTCCTTTCTTATATTATGGAAGCTTTGTAAATTACCTATTCCATACCATATTCAATGTTTTATGTTATCAGTATTGGCTTAGCAGAATGACAATTTATTTTATAGTGGAAAAATATGGGGTATAAGAAAATGTTTAAAATGTGAGCAATAACATGAGCCAGAGGGAATAGGTTGGTCAAAATCTGTACATTATATTATCCTAGTTCAACTAGTATTTTCATCAACTAGGCAGTTGATTTTCTTATCATAGTTACAGATGTAATTTTTTACCATTTTTGGGGGGGGGGCAGGGAGAGGGTGGACTTTGTGCCTTCATATTCTGAATTAGGATCACTAAGGAAGAAAGGGATCAAGCCTTAAATAAAGTAGATTTAGGAACAAATCATAGGATTATTTAATTGGCAAATCTGCATGGTTAGGATGCCTAATTCACACTGGCACTATCTCTCATTCTATTATTCCTATGACATCCTTCTAGTTTTCTATCCCCTATGACCATTTTACATGTGTGTGTGCACGCGCATGCTTGTGTTGTGCACATATGTATGGTATAGGGCAGATAAAAACATATTGGTTCCAAGAATACTTTTGAGCCATCAATGGCCCCCATAAATATAACAGATGGTTGCAGTTTACTCGTTTGCTTCCAAATGTATCTATTGACCCAAAAAAGGATAACGGTAGATTGTGAAATAAAAAGGAGGTAGCAGGTATCTGACTAATTGATTAAATTCTCTAGGGCTGTTATTTTGTAAATGAACAAGTTCTCCTAGAAGTCATTTTTCGCAATTCCTATGTATTCCCCAAATTTCAAACAAGCCAATCAAATTTCCAGGATTAAGAATTCATGCTGCGCTTTCTGAATCCCTTGGTGCTTCACCTGCTTTTCTCATTTACACAAGAAAACAAGTGTGGAAACAACATCTAAGTAGCATTATTGGGTAGCAAGGCTTCTACAACAACCTACTGATTAATAAGTGTGTATGTTTGTGCATGTGTCCACACACATGTAGGCTTGTGCAATTTTGAAATAGAAAAGTTTTTATTATAATAATAAGCCTTCCCTTGTAGTTGTTTACTTGCCTTGATTTCAAACTGCATCTATCCCGCCATTACCCTCTTTCTACTAATCCATTTAAAAAGAGAGATTTTGTAAGACTTATTTTCTGACACTTTTTGTTTTAAAATCATATGGGTACTCCATGCCTAATCTCTTCTATCAGCTGTCATTTTTCCTAGCATAGTTTGAATTTTGAATTGGGGGATTTTGGCCCAAATGCTTTTATGACCTAGTTTCTGATCTCTGACCAATCATTCCAAAAACCACTATATTCACTGTCACTATAATGACTATGCAAAAGTATTTTTTTCCATGCCCAGATTCTGAAGACTTTGGTTGACTCCATTCAATGACTAAATGTTTCTAAACTCTCAAATTGGCAACTATTTCTTCACATTTTTATATAATAAATATCACTTTAATATCTTGAAAAATCTTCCAAAATCATTTTGATATTAGCATTTGATCTGGTAAATCTATCAGGCTTTCATTTGCCTTGTATATGAATTTTTTTCAAAGTTTGTTTGTTGAATAGGCTGGGAAAATATTTATTTTGAACTATCATGCTTTGTGGTCTTGTCTCCTTTTTGTTTTCCATGTGTGTTAAAATATAGTCTGTTTTTATGTGTGTATAAAAAGATCTGAAAGAGCAAGCACATTTTTTCTTCCAAGAAATTATCATGAACCAGTTTGTGGTGATGCCAAAAATGGAATCTTTATCCAAAAAAAGAACTGATTTGGGGTGATTGTATGCAGTTGGCATTCTGGTTTTTCATAAGATAGTTGCCAAATAGTCACTCCTCCAAGTGTTTCACCAGCAAATAGTTTTTAACATTTAATTTTAGAATTTTCAGAGAAAATTGAACACAGCATCGCCCCAATTGTGCTTCTTGCTATAAATAATTGACTTTCTTTCCTTTTCTAGCAAATAACAGATGATGGCCTCATTACAATATGTAGAGGATGCCACAAATTGCAATCTCTATGTGCTTCCGGCTGTTCCAACATCACTGATGCCATCTTGAATGCATTAGGGCAAAATTGTCCAAAACTTAGGTAAGTAGATTTTTTTTCCCTGGTCTCTAAGATTCATACATATAGACTATGTGCCTGTTTGGAACTTTTTAGAATTTACACAACTGTTTGATGGATACTCTGTCCTTTGTTAGACTTTGTTAGACATGAGGACAGGCAGAACTCCTACTGAATCCCTTCAGCTTTGACTATCACTGTATTGCATATTCTTTGAGCCAATCGTATTTCACTATTATTGAAATACTTTACCTTTTATTTACATTTTCTTTAATCTCAAATCTTCAAAACTCCTTAGGATTCATCAGTTAGAAATATCAGGATTAAGAATGTACAAAATGTTTTTAAATTTAACCATTTCAGCTTTGAACATACCCCTCAATTTTGAGTGCAAAACATGGTTTTCAGGTGTAATTAGCTATTTCAAGTATTTTGGGAACATTTTAAGCTCAAAACAAGACAGAGTTTCCCAGGACAGGCATATTAAATACACAACTACCAATTGTCCCCTAACACAAATCATGAGAAAGGTAAATTGTTTTTTCCCCCCAATAAGCTATAGAAATTACCATGTTTAAACTTCAAATGGTGTAATATGTGAATAGTTGCCACAACTGTCTGAATAATTCAGTCATTTCGAACCAATTGCAGTCCTTGCAAATGATGACTCTTTAAAAAAAACATTATTTGATCCCATCTTCTTGAACAATTTTCATCCTGTTTCCAATCTTCCCTTCTTAGGGAAGATAATGGAAAAGGTGGCTGCCTGAAAGCTTCAGAGGGTTCTGGATGAAACAGATTATCTGAACCCCTTTCCGTCAGGATTTAGGTCTGGAGGTCTGGTATTGGTTGTGCTTGTTGATAATCTCTGGCAAGAGCAGGATGGGATAATGCAACCATCTTTTCTCCCTTTGATCTCTCAGTGGCCTCCAATACCTTCAGCATGAGTATCCTTTTGGGCCAACTATGGGATTGGAGCTGGGCAGCACAGTATTGTATTGGTTGTGCTTCTTTATTCAAGGCTGATCAAAATTGGTGTTAATAGGAAGTGAAAGATACAGCCCACGGTCATGCTTGCCGCAGGACTCCGTATTCCCTCCACCTCTTTTTAACATTTACATGAAGTCACTGGGTGAGGTCATCCATTACCATGAGTTGAAGTATTTTCTGCATGCTGAGGATATTCAATTCTATTTTACCCCTAGTGACCCAAGTGATGCAGTTTCTGCTCTCTCATAGGGCCTTGGGGGTTGCGAGGGCCTGGCTAGGGGACTTTTAACTGAATCCTGAAAAGATTGAATGGCTTTGGGTGTATGGAACTCTGAAAAACCAGGATTTTGACATATTTAGTTCTGTATAGCATGGCAGTGACCCAGACAGATCCAGTCCACAATTTGGGTATTTCTCTGAACTCTCAACTTCTTCTTGAAGAGCAGGTTGCAGTTGCAGCTAAGAGAGCTTTGCACAACTTTAGGTTGTGCCTCAGTTACAGCCTCTCCTGGATCAGGAGTCCCTGCGCTCAGTCATTCAAGCCCTAATCATCTTGCAATTGGACTACTGCTACATGCTGTACAAGGGCCTACAGTTGAAGAGCATCCAGAAGCTACAGCTGGTACAGAGTGTAGCAGTACCGTCAGTTTTGGAGCCCCAAGAATGGCCCATTAACACCACTGCTCTGTGGGTGGCACTGGTTGCCGGTGTGCTTCCAGATGTAATTCAAGGTGTTGGTAATCACCTTCATGATGTGGGTCCAGGATACGGGAGGGACCCCTCTCCAGCAACAAACTTCATAAAGAGATTTCAAGAATAACAGCAACTGCAGTATTTTTGAGTGCAAAAGAGATTTTCAATTATGTACTGGAGATATGGGATAGAATTACCTTGCTTTAATTGACTAGTTTGAAAAGGATGAACTGAAAAAAATTGTTCATGAGGCAGGTCAAACCAGAGAATTGGGAATAACTGTTCCAACATTTTGTGTTAATTGATAGGCAATTGTAAGAGTTGAGATACATAGTAAAGGGGGAAAGTTTTACAGGCTCCCTTCACCCCCTACCACCTTCTTGTGGCTTTCTCAGACACCGGCACCAAAGAGCTCACACAAATAGGCTTCCTTTACAGCTAAATGGAAATCTCTGCTGAGAAACAACAATTCAGTCTCTGATAATATCAGATCCATCACGTTTCAATCTTTTCCCTTCATTTAAAGCAATGAGATTTGCTTCTCTGTTGAGTGACAATGTATCTTGTGGCTATCGCCTCCTTTTTTCTCTTTATGGGAAAATGCTTACTTTCTAGCCTATTTATAAAGCACTGCTTGGAAAGCCTCTCTGTCATTTTTCCTGCTTTCTTCTCTCTATGTTATATTCTTTGAACCCATGATTACTCTTCCTGTTAATCTCATCTTCAAAATAGCTTTTTTATTGCTGAGACATTGAATAATCAAGAATAAAATTGTATGTTATTTTTCTTTTGTTTCAAAATCAGCCTTAGTGTTTCGCTTAACATTGGAATTTTTATTGCCATCTTTTTCCCCCCTGACTTTAAATACCATTAGAAACACTGCTTCATTCTTCCCACGACACTTGTACTTTTTACCTGAACTGAATGCCTGTTTTACTATGTAAAAAAGTTCATTCAGGACTTTCTAATGCCTATCTAAAGGGAAGTACTTTCCTGACAGTATTCTCCTAATTGATAATAGCAACCATGTAGGCTTGTTATGAGTTACCAGCTTTGCCTCTTGCAGTCTATACTTATCAAGAGTGTTGCAGAACTAGGAATATTTCCCTAGGCTAGAGCACTACCTTACTGAAGCTATGTGGGCAGCCACTTAATCTCAGGCCTACACCTTTACTCAACGTAAAAATGGACTCGAACTTACAGTGAGATGCAGTCCTTGGAAGGGCTTTCCTTGCTTTGGTAACCATATGTCATTCAGATTCTGTTCCATATAAGAAGTTTTATATGCCTAAATGTGAATGAGAGAAATAATAATAATAATAAAGCACTGCTTACTTACCTGTACTATAGTTCTTACAGTAGTCATCTGCAAATTTACACAATGCACCATGTTACCTTGTTTCATCTCAAATGACCTTAATGTTTCTTCAAGTCTTTTGTAACAGTCTTAGGAACTGAGAGGGTTCAGTGAGAACAGTGCATAGTCATATAGTACATGTGAGGATGGGGCTCCTTTCAAATTTGTAAGCTCTGGAAGGCTCTGAAGGGGCTAGGTGGAGGCACACAAACTATGTGTGTCGAATCACAGAGTATTTGAAGAACAACATTTGCAGGTAAGTAACCAGTTCTTCGTCCACAGGACAATATAGGAGCATGTAAGCATGTTATGTTTAGAATATATCCCATTTCTTTGAGGGGAAAGCATAAGACCACTACATAGAATAGTTTCATTATATTATTATGAACTGTGTCCCTCTCCCTTTCTGAAGCTAGTTTATCATTCAGAAACAAGTGTGATTCTTCCATAAATTGATTAAGATAATTTTGATTGGAGAATGTTTGAGAATGAACAAAATTAATTTACCCTAAAACAGGTTTATGAAGCATTGTTGAGAATTAAATGAAGACAGGACAGTGATACATATGGGAGAAATGAGGGGATAGATGACAAAACTACTCAGCTAAAAGTTGTTTCTTTAGCTAAGAAAGGCAAGCAAGCAGGAATGGAGATTTTTGTTTCTGAAAAATCTTCAGTACCAGTGCTGGGAAACATAGTAAAAATATTAAAATTTAGAAATGTCATAAAAAGCAAATAAGTTGTTTCTGAAATTTATACTGTCATATTTCTTTCTTCTATTAGTATTCTATTTTCTTGCTAGAATTGCTGGTATCTAGAATCCCATGAAATGGTAGTAGGAAGAATTCAACATCTCCCCTATTTTGGAATAAGAGGTTTAAAAAGTATTCTTTAGTTCATACTGGCCTTCTGAGATTTCAGAAGTGGGTTTTAAATGCTAAAACTATTTGTTGGTACATCTATTTATTTTCCATGTAGGATATTGGAGGTAGCTCGTTGTTCCCAACTTACAGATGTGGGCTTTACAACTCTGGCTCGGGTAAGCATTTGATGTCAAGGTTGCCTTTTCCATTACGGCTAGTCCTTGACTTACAATTCATCTAGTGACTATTTGAAATTACAACAGCACTGAAAATAGTGACTTATGTCCGTTTTTCACACTTGCAACCATTGCAACACCCCTGTGATCACATGATCAAAAATCAGATGCTTAGCAACTGACTCATATTTATGACAATTGCAGTGTCCAGAGGTCATGTGATCACCTTTTGTGTGATAAGCAAAGTCAATATGAATGCAGATTCACTTAAAAGCCGGGTTACTATCTTAATAACTCTAGTAATTCACTTAATGGTGGCAACAAGGTTGTAAAATGGGGCAAAACTTATTTGACAAATGTTTCACATTTTGGGCTCAAAATAAGTTAAGGACACATATAAATGCTGTTGTTTGCTGTTTATGCCTGTACTTCATAAGTGAACATCTATTTCAGTCATTGTGCTCCCCTTTAATGCTGCTCAAGAGTTTTAAGGATGGGAGGAAAAAAAGCAGATACAGAGTCTCACATACCCAAATTGGTAGTGCTAGTAGGTTTTGAGCCAAAATGGATAGGATTAGTCCTAGTAACAAAGAAGAAAAAGAAGCAAATTAAGGATTACACTTGATATAAAAAGAATATCATTCTGTTGCCTTTCCTGAAATATATGAAAAGCATGATATGAAATCTCAGAACAAAAAAAGACCATGAGAATGAATGAACATAGAGATTTTCCCATTCATGCTTTATCAATTACTGTGCTTCCCCCAAAATAAGACTTGGTGTTATATTTTTTTGCCTCCAAAAGAGGCATCAGGTTTTATTTCTCGGGGACGTCTTACCTGCTTACATTAGGACCACTGCAGCCAACCTTCAAATGCCCCAACACCTGTCATGCCACTTTCTGGCTTCTTCTACAGCTACTTGTCACCAGATACCACATGGCACATCATGCCACCATTCATGACAGGACACCGTGGCATCATGCCACCATTCATGACAGGACACCGTGGCATCATGCCACCATTCATGACAGGACACCGTGGCATACGAAGAAGAGACTTCTTAGGGGTTTCTTACAGAGGTTTTTAAATCAAATTTTAAGAGGGAGTGGGGATTTGATTTGGATGGCTCAGACAACTTGATGGGGGAGTCTGCCAGGGCACAGGCCAAAGCTAACTAATGGGCACAGGTCGAGAGTGCTGGGAAGGGTTGGGATTCTGGGGGAGACATTAAGCCATTCCATTGGGGGGTTCACCATCTCTACTGTTTGTGGGAGAGGCAAATATGGTAGGGGCCGAGGGCCAAATTATGTTCGGGGGACTCGGGTCCGCTGTTTAAGAGCGATCGCGCGTTCCGACCCTCATCATCCTTCTCACACCCCTAGGTGCTCGGGATTACAGGACCCTGGTCTCCAACTGGTGTCACTTAAGGCCAGGTCCGTGGTACATAAATCTCCCCTCATTTACGACCTCGTACAAGAGGGTAGAGCATTATGGAGACCTGGTTGGGCCATGAGGGGGGTGTTCCCCTTAGTGAATTATGCTCACCAGGCTTCTGGGTGTTTCACCAGGTGAGAGCCCAGGGCAGGGGTGGCGGGGTGGCGGTGCTTATTAGGGAATGTCTCAGACCTCAGGAGGTCATTGTGCCTCAGATAGGCGGGTGTGAGTCTCTTTTTGTAAAATGGGTCCTTGGAGTTCAGGTGGGCCTTTTTGTTATGTACCTGCTACGTTTCATCGGCCCTGCCGGAGCTGCTAAATATATTAGCTGAATTGGCGGTTGATTTCCCCAGGCTTATGATCCTGGGGAATTTCAATCTGCCTTCCGTTGGCGAGACATCTGAGTCAGCTCGGGAGTTCATGGCTTCCATGATGCCTATGGACCTAACTCAGTTAATTCAAGACCCCACCCATAATGGGGGACACACGCTTGACCTGATTTTTGTCTCTGGGCAGTGGATGAATGATCTAGATTTAGGGGATATTTTTATCCAACCCTTGTCATGGTCGGATCCTTTCCCTCATCAGGCTTGACTTCCATCCTGCTACGCCTCACCGCAGGGAGGTGGAACCGACTAGATGGTTCCGCCCCAGGAGCTTGATGGACCCTGAAAGGTTCCTAATGGAGCTTGGGACTTTTCCTGAATCTAGATCATTCATCCACTGCCCAGAGACAAAAATCAGGTCAAGCGTATGTCCCGCATTATGGGTGGGGTCTTGAATTAACGGAGTT